CACGCGCTACCACTCCCTCTCCGCGAGCACGTCCTCGCTCCCGCCGACGCTCGCGGTGACCGCGACGACGCAGGAGAGCGGCGTGATCATGGGCGTGCGCCACCGCGAGTACACGATGGAGGCCGTGCAGTACCACCCGGAGAGCATCCTGTCGGAGGGCGGCGACGCGCTGCTGCGCAACTTCCTGCGCCTGCGCGGCGGGTCGTGGGCGGAGAACTCGGCGTTTGGGGTGTCCGCGGACGAAGAGAGCGCGCCGGACAGCGCGGCCCACGGCCACGCGAGCACGTCGGCCTCGGCTGCGGCCGCGGCCGTCGGGGCGGGGGCCGCGAGCGCGAAGGTGCCGACGATCCTGGAGAAGATCTACGCGCAGCGGATGCGCGACGTGGAGGCGGCGAAGCTCGTGCCGGGGACGACGGCCGCGGACCTGCAGACGCTGCTCGACCTGTCGCTCGCGCCGCCGCTGACGTCGTTCGTCGACGCGCTCACGGCGGGGCCGGGCGCACCCGCGCTCATGGCGGAGATCAAGCGGGCGTCGCCGTCCAAGGGCGCGATCGCACTGGGCACGAACGCGGCGCAGCAGGCGCTGACATACGCGCTGGCGGGCGCACGCGTGATCTCGGTGCTCACGGAGCCGACGTGGTTCAAGGGCACGCTGGCGGACATGCGGGCGGCGCGCGAGGCGGTGGACGCGCTGCCGCGGCGGCCGGCGATCCTGCGCAAGGACTTCATCTTCGACGAGTACCAGGTGCTGGAGGCGCGCGTGCACGGCGCGGACACGGTGCTGCTGATCGTCGCGATGCTTGCGCCGGCGCGGCTCGGCGCGCTGCACGCGTACGCGCGGGGGCTGGGGATGGAGCCGCTCGTGGAGGTGAACAACGCGGCGGAGATGGAGGCGGCGCTGGCGCTCGGGGCGCGGGTCGTCGGCGTGAACAACCGCAACCTGCACGACTTTGCGGTGGACATGGGCACGACGAGCCGGCTCGCGGAAATGGTGCGAGCGCGCGGGGTGGTGCTATGCGCGCTGAGCGGGATCACGGGGCCCGCGGACGTGCGGACGTACGTCGCGCAGGGCGTCGGCGCAGTGCTGGTCGGCGAGGCGCTCATGCGCGCGCCGGACACGCGCGCGTTCATCCGCGAGCTGCTCGACTGGCCCGCGCAGGAGGAGGAAAACACCAAGACGCCACCGCCGGCGCTCGTCAAGATCTGCGGGATCCGCACCGAGGACGAGGCGCTCCAAGCGATGGACGCGGGCGCGGACATGCTCGGGCTCATGTTTGTCCCGCGCAGCCGGCGGCACATCTCGCTCGCGCAAGCGCAGAAGATCTCGATGGCCGTGCACGCGTCGCGGTTCGCGCGGCCGGTGCGCGAGCCCGCGGCGGCGGAGGAGGGCGCAGAGGCAGAGCTCGGGACGCGCCCGTGGTTTGCCGCGCACGCACACGCACTGGGCGCCCCGGACTCGCACGCGCGCCCGCTGCTCGTCGGCGTGTTCCAGGACCAGCCGCTCGCGGCGGTGCTGCGCGCGGTGGAGGTCGCGCAGCTGGACATGGTGCAGCTGCACGGGCGCGAGCCGGCGGAGTGGGCGCGGCACGTGCCGGTGCCGGTCGTGCGCGTGTTCCACGTCGGCGCGGACGCGAGCGTGGACGACGCGGCGCTGCGCGACCTGACGCGGCCCGGGCTGAACCAGTACGTGCTGCTGGACGCGGTGCGCCCCGGGAACAAGGACGGGCTGAGCGGGGGCGCGGGCGTGGCGGTGGACTGGGGGCTTGCGAGGGCTGTGGTGGAGCGGGGGGAGGTGCCGGGCGTGGCTGCGGGCGCGCACCCGATGCCGATCATCCTTGCGGGGGGGCTGACTCCGGAGAACGTGCGAGAGGCGGTGGAGGCGGTGCGTCCGTGGGCTGTGGACGTGAGCGGGGGGGTGGAGACGGCGGATGGGAGCGGGAAAGATGCGAGGAAGGTCAGGGCGTTCGTGGAGGCTGTGAAAGGAGACAGACAGACCTAGACTAGGGTGGCTGCTGGAGAATCGAAGGCGATGGTTGTATATATGATGTAGACGTTTCTACTGGTCATTGCTATCTGGACGCCGTATACTCACTAACAAACATAATGTTGTTCTCATGCGCTCGAAAAAAGGGAAAGCTGCAATTCTCGCGACTTATGGGGCACAAAATGCCAGTGTAATTGACCATGCTGTGTGTGGTAACATCGAAGAGTTGCAGGACAGGGACTTGCGACGCGTCCTCACGCGTCTCATCACGTGCCAGCGACTCACCCGACAATCTCCTCTTAGTCTCAACGCCGTATTAACTTCGTTTATGTCAGCTACTTCTTCAATCTAAGCTCAGATTCTGCACCTACTGTGCGCTCTATGCGGCTCTGTTTAGACAACCCCGCGCCTCGGTGGAAAGCTCTGCTCTGGGACAGCCCTTGGGTAGCGGACATCCTCATACTTTGAGGTGTTTGCTCAAGACACTGGTTTACGGTGAGCGATGGCGCGTTGTGCGGACAATCGCACTACGCCTTGATCGCGCGAATCGAGGAGGCAGACATCGCGATTGAACTCATTCCAAAGTTACAGCGCCAATTGACCAAAGATGTACAGCGTGGTGCTTTATTATACAGAGGAAGCCGAAGGGAAGCATCATATGTAGGTATGCTCAAAGGCTAGCGAGGGAGGGCATATGATGTGGATATGGCGGGTATCAGCTGGCGTGAAGGGGAGTGCGGGGTATAGGAGCGACTTCAGGCACGGCAAGAACACGTGGGTATGCGAAAGAGACGGACAGCTAGACGGGATTTGAAATGAGCGAGGTGAGTTTGAAGGCGGGCAAGGAACAGGCACACACCATATAGTACGTGGAATCGAACAAGCCGAGACGACTGTGCGGCCAGCTACTCACCCGGATTCTATGCAGGCGATAAGCGTACAGCGCGAGGACTCAAGACCAACGACTTACAGAAAGGATGGTCGAGGTTCGTGTCTGGACAACCTATCGTCTCCTGCTCTTACCCTGATCCATTGCAAGTGCGAATGCGCGTGGCATGGTTCCCAGTAGCCGTCTTGTGCGTCTGGGCGCGTTGGCAGCCTGTGGCGATGTGGGCGAGCCAGGCTGTACGTTCGCTGAACGCCCAGTCTGTTCGCTTATGTCGCCTGGGCTTTCGTGCAGCGACATGAGCGATGTCGGAGGTGGAATGACGTCGATCTGTTCGCGTGAGGACCAGATGTCAGGCCGGATGCGAGGCAGAGCGGGTGTTGGCAGCGGCCGAGGTCTGTTGGGAGCAATCAGCGGCGTCGCATCATCATACTCGAACACCAGCGGCATCGGTGCACGCGATAGTGAAGCGCTGATGGCCGGACGTGAAGGTTTTGTTTCATAGAGGGTGTATGGCTCATCCCGAGGTCGGCGCGTTTGACCCTCAACTGCTTCGTGTTGGCCATGAGCATCTTGCTCGCAAATTGGTGGATGATAGTCGCTCGACGGGGTCTCAGGTGAGGATGTCGTAACACTGAGCGTAGACGGAGAGTCGTCCAGTACGCTATAGTGCTGTTCGCAAAATCTATGCCAGGCTTTCAAGTCGTCATCTTCCTGCTCCTCTGTTTGATGAGTCTGATCGTTGGCCTCATCGCCTTGCTCGTCTGCGTCCAGGTCGTCGACCAGATGCTGCGCGCACTCCAGCGAGGCTCCTTCGGTTCGAATTTTCGCCTCGTTCTCCCCATCATGCTCGGTTGGCCGGTCATATTCCGTCTTAATCGTGTCGACCTCTTCGAACGGCTCGATGCTTTCGCTTGTCGTGCTCTCCGCGCATCGCTCCTGCCCAGCCTGGCTCTCGGTTTCCCTGAGCAATCTGTGGAATTCCTCCTCGCTTTCCTCGAGATCGTCCTGTGGTTGCTGTTCGTGATCCTCACTGGGCAGCTCGTTTATGGGATTATACTCGTCCAATGGCATCGCTTTACTTGGCGGTGGCTGCGTCTGTCGCAGATCCTCGCTCCCTTGCTCGTCCTCCTGGGAAACTGCCTCGTGGACCTCCATCTCGACTCGCTCGACGTTTTCGTCAGTCCCGCTCTCTTCCGCTAGCTGTACATGTGCGTGGCTCATTTGAGCGATAACTTCCGCTAGGTATTTGCGTTCCTCGGCAACCCGTGCGCTCTTTTCCTCCAGTAGCTTGCTGTCTTGCTTCAATTCAGCATCCTCCCGATCTCGCTGGGCACTCCATTCATCGGTATTAGCGCACTGGTCTTGAAGGGCGGCAGACTGTTTGTCGCATTGCTGGCGCAGGTCTGTCGTGCGTTGATATCCTACTTGCTCTTCGGCAGGTTGTGGCAAGGCGAGGTTGAGGTCCTCGGTACTCCACTCATCTGCGCTGGCGTACATTGCCTTGCACTGTCTCTCGTGCTCTTCGCATTCTTCCTGTCTTGAGGATATCAGGAGTGTGCTGAGCGGGTTTGTGACGGTGAGCGGGGATCCGCCAGCCATTGTGTCAGCGGATGCGGGATGGAGCACGGTGGTTTGGCCACTCTGTTGGGGTAGTACTGGTGCCAATGGACAAATGTCCGTGTCCAGCGTCGAGAAATCCTATTTCGATCAGCACCGTCAGCTCGACGAACACGTTGGGTAGTGAGCAGTGCCTACCACTAGGGCGCTTGATTCGATTAGCGCAACGTCGGTGTTCACCTGGGCATGTTCGCCCCGTATGTCCTGGGTATATTCAGCGTCGTCGCCATTGGGATTGGCGGCCGCTGTGTGTGGGTATAAGGCCATACGACCATTGGATAGGTCTGGATGCGTATAGTATCAGCGGGTTGTGTTCATGCATACACAACGGCGAGCAGTACCTGTGATCTGGGCAGGTGAGAGCGTAGATCCGTTGTCGACGTTGTCATTTGAAACCTCCAGCAGTGTTTCGCCTGCGACCCTGAGGGTGTCTTCATAGACCGTCAGCTTCGATGGTATAGAGTACATAACTGTCAACTCACCGTTGGGATGGACAAACTGGTTTGGGCCGCTGATGATGTTGTTGATGAATACCTGGTCAGACAAGTCCGCCGAGGCATCCTCGCCGTTCAACGCGAGCTCGTCGCTGAACGGCAAGGCTGCACCGGCATCTGTGTCGAGAGCGACAGTGGGCTAAGAAGATGGTGAGCCGATGTCGTTGGACTCGATGACTGGTCACTTACGAGAACATCCGATACGCGTGCCTTGACTTTGTCTGAGTACCGGGAGTGAAAGACCATTGCCATGACGCAGGCGCAGCATACGATGATGATTCCACATGCGACAAGCGGTATTGGCTCGATTGCATCGACCAATTCAGCTGTGTACCTCTCCCAGACGATGAGGTCCTTCGTGGGGTATTCGAGTTGTGGTGTTGGTCGATGGGTGCGCTCCTCCGTGATGCTCGACGGACTCGGGATGGGGGGTATCGTGAGGGCCGGCACGTGCAGTCCTGCGGACACTGGGAGCCCAATGGGTGTCCAGAGTATGATATCCTTTGAGGGGATTATCGCTTGAGGGCCTGAGATGGCATGGCGAGTGGGAGGAGCCGGGAGAGAGGGAATAGACATGCTGTATGAACAAAGTGAGTTAATGTGGCGCATAGATGTTGAGCTCACTCACATGAAGGAGTGCGCGGCGTTGTCAGCGATGAAGAGGATGTGAGGGACTGCCGCTTCGATAAATGCTCCGATTGTCAAGGGTATGTATGGGTTTCCATAAGTCGAGGGGTGCGTTATGAGTGTGAGGATAGCGATGCCGAGCTGGGTTACTATTTGAAGCAACAACATCGCTGCCGGATGAGGGGGGGTGCTAGAGCAGGATGAAACCAGTAATGTCAGTCATCGATGACTACTGTGTGCTGAAAGCTATGTGTCTGGCGACTGTAACGACGGCACGCGGGTGATGTCGAGGACCGACGCCACAATGTCCCCCACCAAAGCCCAGGTTGAACCCGTCGAATGTTCAGGTCCTGACAGAAGCAAATGGACTGAATGAACAAACAGTACTCACTGTTTAGCAGAGGTGCGATTGTAAGTGCGGTCGAGTGTGTTGTGGCGAGGGGTAGGGGTGGGATATGGTGGAACGCAAGGTGGTTGAGCTTGGACCGCCACTGACGACAAGGTCTTAATAGGGGAATCTTATCTAATATATTACCACAGCCTTTTTCTATATAGATTCCGCCTCGTGGCGTTATTGCTTGGTATTGTGCTCGAGGTAGACGCAAAAGGACAGAATACAAGGGCGTGGATTTGAACTCCGCGTCGGCCAGGAGGACAAAAGACACAGCCCGGGCGGGGATACAGGCGAATTCCGAGTCTTATAATGTATTCAGCGATATAGCAATATACATAGACGACAATTCCTGTTTGATCTACCATTCGTTCGACACAGGTGAAGCCTAGGAGTCTGTAGGTGCGAGATGTGCCGTTGTGGCGTCGTGACCACGAAAGGCAACTATCAAGGCAGACGCCGGATCACGGATCTGGATTCAGCATCACCGCACTGACTTTCCTGATAACCTTCCATTACCTGGATTATCACATCAGGACATACAAACAATCATGTATTCTTGAGGCTCTCGGCCGTGCTTCAACTTGCTGTGCATTTGCCCGACGCCTTGCAGTTTACTTATATTGCCTCGGACTGATCTTATCTGTTGCTACTCAGCGTCATCTCGACCGTATCGGCATAGACTCCCAATCGAATACATCAAGAACCCATTGTAATGATATTGCTGTAGGCTAGCCGTGGAGGTCGTACATGATCGAACTTGGCTGCGGCGGATCCTGAGCGCCATCATTGCTGACTAAGCGGACAATATCCAGTGACACATCGCCCGTCTTCAACTGGCATATAGATTTCAGCAACTCACCCATACGCTACTTTGCTTGCTCCATACTCTCAAACCAGGACGCGCCTCAACTGAGTCCACTGGGGCCAGACGCCGCACCACGGCAGACATAGCAAACGTGCCTTCACTGGACGCAAATCCATGGGCACATCTGCCGCGACGACCTCAAGCACAGAGTACGTACTGAATTCGTCGTCTGCTAAGGATCGTTGTTCAACTCAGACCATGACCTCAGCTGCTGATCCACCCTCGCCATGCCTTATATCCCTCTCCTCGGACGGCTCACCGCGCGCGAGTACACCGCAATATTCGTCGGCGCGTTGATGGTCGTCCTAGAGACCCTGTTGACCACGATCATAGCATTCCTGCCAAAGTCCGTCATCCAATGGTTCTACAATCGCTCGCGCTCTCTCTTCCATCTCTGTGTCGGCCCGCCCATTGCCAAATCGGGGCAGCAGCAGCTGGCAGACCGTATCCGGCGTGCGTCGGACTTCGAGCGGCTGTGTGAGATCTTCGGCTATGCCTTCGAGGAGCATGTTGTGCTCACCAAGGACGGGTATCTTCTTGGACTGCATCGGTTGCATCTGCGGCGAGGCGAGCGCTGCACGCGCAGTGGGGCAGCGATGAACAAGCCAGTTGTGTATCTCCACCATGGGCTGCTCATGAATTCGGAGGTCTGGGTGTGCCTGACGGACCCGTCACGCAGCGTTGCGTTTACGCTGGCCGACCGCGGGTTCGATGTGTGGCTGGGGAACAACCGCGGGAACAAATACTCGCGCAAGAATATACACCACAATCCGAACTCGACACGGTTCTGGGACTTCAGCATCGACGACTATGCGTGGCACGACATCCCGGACAGCATCGAGTACATCCTTCGGGTGACGCGCGAGCCGAGCGTGTCGTATGTCGGGTTCAGCCAGGGCACGGCACAGGCATTCGCGGCGCTGAGCATCCACCCACAGCTGAATGAGAAGGTGAACGTCTTCATCGCGCTGGCACCGGCGATCTCTCCTGCGGGTCTGGCTGTGCCGATTGTGGACGGACTGATGAAGGCGAGCCCGACACTGCTGTTCCTGATCTTCGGGCGGAGGGCTATCATGTCGTCTGTGCCCGCGTGGAATGCGCTGCTCTACCCTCCTGTGTTCAGTGCTGCGATCACGCTGTCGCTGCGCTTTCTGTTTGGCTGGCGGTCCCGGCGGATCACGCATTTGCAGCGTCTGGCGGCGTACTCGCACCTGTACTCGTACGCGTCGACGAAGGCGGTGGTGCACTGGTTCCAGATCATGCGGAATGCAAAGTTCCAGATGTACGACGACGATGTACAGCGGGTGATCCGTGTGTCGAGCGTGCGCGGAGCGATGGCGCAGGCGGCGGCGCGACACCGGCCCAGCGGGGTGACGAGCTACGCGCCAGCACGTTTCCCGACACGCAACATCACGACGCCAATCGTGCTGCTGTATGGCGACGAGGACTCTCTGGCGGACATCGATGTAATGCGGAGGGAGCTTCCGGACCATACGGAGGGGTATCGGCTGCACGGGTACGAGCACCTGGATGTGCTGTGGGGCGAGGATGTGGACAAGGATGTCATCCCACTCGTGCTGGACTCGCTGTTGAAGTATTGTGTCGGTGCGGAGAGGGTGGGGCAAGAGATGGGAGAGGGCGAGAAGATGTACCTGACTGTAAATGGAGTGGACAGCGACGCGGTGGATACTGTGTCCGAGACGACATCTATGTACGGGGGCGAATGAATACGAAGAAATATACCCACATGGTTTTGCGGAATAGGGCAACAGGCAGGCGCGTCCAGTCGCCAATACAGGAGCATGGCAAGATCGACAGCTGTTTCGGCCGGACATGAATTGTTGAACCATGCACTAATCATGATGGATAGACAGATAGTTTCCTGCGAAGAAATATGTACCATCCAAAAGGTGAAACCCGCGCGCCATGCAAATCACTCATTCTCGCGCGGCGCCCACGATGCTTTCATGCTGACAGGTCCTTGCGGTCATAGTCTGAGGACCAAACATTGCGAAGCTCAACTTCGAGGCAGCCGAGGTACGAGAATTGACCGTTTGTGGCGAGGGATCGAGACTGAAGACAATAGAATTCACGCTGTTCGACTCGGCTTGTACTAGCCAGCAAACATGTAAGGAATTAAACGCACGGTGTAAGTGCTGTACGCGGTCATGTGATCCAATACCGTAACTTGGTCTGAGTGCAGGCGATGAATGTGCCGGACAAAATGATGACGTTGCCGTCCTCAAAGGATGCCTCGATCTATGTGAGCGCGGAGCATCCACTCGACGTCGACTTGCCTGAGACATTGTCCCGCAGATTTGTCAAGACGAACAATTCTTGCCAATATCGTGGTCTTAGAGTGTAAGCCGGTTCCTGTCTACAATGTAAAGATGAGCAAGGTTGCGCTGTTTCAGGTATGTGATCATTGTTCGTATTAATGAGGATGGCAGCCTGCATGCTCTTTTGAAGTTTTTACATGTACAGCACAGGGTGAGTCATATTCACCGGTTCGCTCTTCATGGAGGCTTCCCAACAGCGGGCAGTCGTACAAAATTGAGAGGTGTGTATCTATCGCTTCTTGTCCTCTGACCACACCTATATTTTTGTCATTTCCCGCCTTCACGTCATGTCGTTATGCAAACAAATCGACCAACCGTGCACTCCGCTATTCTCAAGAACTACTTCTGATGGGCAAACAATTGATGTTTGGCACTGTGGACTCCTTCTGCTTTTGCATCGTCGTTTGCTAGGCAACGTTTTCAAACACGTGTCCCTGTTGGCGCTGCAAACAGCTCATGTGGACAACTGTGCCCATCCGATACCGAACAATCTTCATGCCCACCGCATGTCGCTGCCTCCTCCTACTTCCTTCTCGTGTCGGAAGGAGGAACATACAGTGTCACATGGCGATATCGCACCGAGATTCCACGGGTGGAGGCGAACGTAAGTCCACGCTCGTCGAGTCGCCCATGGACACTGATTCCGGGGTGCTTCTCCACGCACAGTACTATCTTGTTCTTTGCGAGGTCGCCGCGCCCGAATTCCACAAGAATGTTATCTGGTAATTTGTAGGCAAATAGCTTTCATTAAGCGCATTTGCGTCTGCGCTGCACACCAGCGGTGGACAGTGATACCCACGCATGGCGTCGAGGGTACTGGAGGGATGGAAGCGTAATACAGTGCGCGGCCTCGCGAAAGATTGAACCTTGATAGCTAATTACGAAAGGAGGCTCTGCAGACTGCATCGTACAGATATATGGCTATGGCCGGCTCTGTCGGAGTGAAACCGCGCCCACATCACAGCACACCCCGCCTTTGCATTGGCAGGATGAGCGATATTGGAACTATCGAAGATGCGTCGGACGTGCTTCCCGTGCCATCCTCCGTAGGTGACGATATCCCTCTCACAACCGCTCTCATCGTCTCGGTTACAGGGTACCATCATTGTCGCGTCTCCGTTGGAAAATCCAACCGCCGTCGACACCTCGTCGCCGAGATTTCCCATCGAGGTGTTCGAACACATCATTGATAATTGCTGCGTCGACAAAGCCCATGGCGGGTATAGGAGGCGTTGTATCCGAGGTGATCGAAAGACCCTCCTCGCATGTGCGCTGACATGCAAGGCCTGGCTTCCCCGTAGCCGCTTCCAGCTCCTACGGCGTGTCGCCTTTTGGCGTACGTCCCAGGTAGTCGGATTTAGCCGTATGTTGGACGCATACCCGGACATGGCCGGTCTGGTCCAATGTCTCAATGTTTGCAGAAAGCGAAAGTACCCAAAGGGTAAACCTGAGTGGTCTACGGAAGCCCTCATGGTGCTGGCGAGGAGGATGCCTGTGCTCAGATGCCTCGTCTCTCAAGTTGAGATAGGGCGTGATGACAACATCAGCTTCGACCGCCGCTTAATCATGTGCATTTCGGAGTTTCCGGCCCTAACCAGTCTCTCGATTTACAATGTAACCCTTCCCTCTGTATATCACCTTGGACGGCTCCTCCTTGCTATCCCCGCTCTCCGCATTCTTGATTGCAGGTATGTCAGGGTCAAGAAGGATGGGTTTGATGACCGCGGCCTCCCTCCGCAAATGACTCGCCTGCGGCTTACCAGCGTTAAACTGAAACGTTGCGCCGAATGTATTGTCGACCTCGTCGTTGCGACATCTACTTGCGAACACATTAAGGCACTCGACGTTGACTGGAATGCCGCGCATAACGGAGCTTTCCAATTGCTCCGACAATAAAGCACGAAATAGAGCTGAATTATAGCCCATCTGATATGGTTCGACTATTCGCATTGTAACCATCTCGAGGAACTCGCCTTCGAAGTCTACGATTTTGCTCGCGATGAGGTCAATAACATTCCGGAGATACTGAGGGAAATCACCACCTCGGCGATGCGAGAGGTAACAGTCTTTGTCAGGACCCACCTCAATCCAGGGAACCACATCGACAAAAACGTGTGCGCGGCAATAGAAGATGTGTTGTCCAAACCACCATTTGCGAGACTTCGAAAGTTCCGGCTGACATTCAGGGATGGTCATCCGGATCTAGTTGAGCTATTGATGTCGCGTTTCCCGACGCTTCTTCGGCGAGGAATCCTCTCGTACGTCCTAAGCAGCTCTGTGACGATCATTTCTGATTCAGCCAACGTTCCAGCATCGATATGGATGCCCGGGAAAACCAAAACCACCCCTTCCGCCAGCTAAGCCCACGACGCTGAATCATGCACCTATATTTACAACGCCCTTCTCATCCCCATCTATGCTGCCGGCTCTACGCTTTCAGTTCATGCTCCTGAACCATCAGGTATACGACCACCATATTCACGCACGCCAAATTCGACCGTCTCCACGGCACGCTCAGGAGGTTACGGAATAAGACGATGAATACACACAAGGTCATTTCAGTGAGAAGGACTCGGATGAGGGCGCATACATACGAGAGATCCGTCCTGGGACGAAATGTGTGGAATTCGAACAATTCACGATACATGATATGTACTCAGAGGTCTTTCTTCGGGGCGTCCGCCTCACCATTCTTGTACCTGCGGACGTCCTCGTGGTATTCCTTCTTCCCGTCCGCCTTGAACGCTTGCACGTCCTCGCTGTCCATCATCCCAGCAACACGATCCGCCTGCCACTTTTTGAACGCGAACCCCGCGCCAGTGTGCGAGTAGTCCTTGCCATTCGCCTGGTCCTTGTGGTACTTGACCTGGGGAAAGTCCGAGTCTGCGGATGCGGGGTCGAGAGACAGCGACACGAGCGCGTTGATCGTCGTCGACTTGATGCCGCCGGGGAACACCCATGTCTGCCGTTGTCCCCGCATCAGCACACGGGCGGGCGCACGCGCACGCAAGGGCAGGCGCGGACGGGCGGACGGACCTGCTCGTTCTTGAACTGGATCAGCAGTGGGTCGTTCACGACCACCTGGTACCCCTCGTTGCGGCTCTCCTTGAAGAGCTTCGGCAGCGCGAACCACTGGCCCGCCATCTTGTACCGGTCGTCCGCATACACGAACTGGTCGTCGTACACGCAGTCGGGGGTGTAGCGGCTGACGCGCTCGCGGGTCGGCTGGCATGAGTAGAGCGCGAGGATGTCGTCGAGCAAGCGCTGGCGCGCGGGGGGCAGCGGGAGCGAGCGCGAGGGGTCCGGGTGGTAGTCGTCGCTCTGTGCGGTCTGGCGGACCTCGAAGTGCTCGCCGGGGAGCGAGGAGTCGGTCGGGAGCTGTGGGTGCGTGTTACTGGACATGGGGCGGGGTGTGAGACGGATATAGCGGGGTGGAAGGAGGCGGAGGGCAAGGAGCAATGGGGGCGAGAGGATGGATGGCGAGCATTATATATCGCTGAAGGATAGATGACGTCGTCAGAGGCGAACGGATAGTGACAGGGCGTGTCTGCGATCGGGCGCACGTCAGTGGATCTGATCGAGAAGGCGGACGCGTTTGGATCTCTGCGCCTGGATTTACTCGGAGTTGGTCTGCCCATCGCGTACACAACCTATTTTGTCGATGAAGTCACGCCAACATCTGTTGTGTATACAGCTATCAACCGAGCACTGGGAAAATGGTGACTGATCGATAAATAAACACCCGACTGCGAGTCGTCTATCTGGCAAACGCGCTCAGCTCCTGAAATGTCTGATGTTCTGCAGTGTAGGGTAATAAGCAGACGTACGTGCGCAATCATGCTGGAGTGAACTGGCAGCTACAACCCTCTGCGTTATGCACTCGCGGACTGCGTACCGGCGTAGGCGGCGGCACTGCTATCGTCTGCAAGACTTTCGGCACGACGGAGGCTTGTCTAGAGAGGTGTCTCCAGATACCTACATGATCGATTGTCTGCGCCACGAGAGCAGCGTCGGAAATTTGATCGAATGACTAGACTCTAGAGATCCGCGGCCAACCCATAAAATCTTATCTTAAGGACGCCGGACAGGCGGCGCAAGGCAACCTGTTCGCCCCGGCTATATGAAAGAGACTTGAAGCTCAGCGGCTCGCATCGGTCTCAGAGGGCGCGGGCACGGAGTGGTCTTGCCTACGGCTGAAGGCCAATATGGGGACCGCCGTTTGCGTATCTCGGGTCGCAAGCGCAGGGAGCGAGCGTGTGCGCAGAACGTCTGCGACGCCTCGAGGCTGGGATAGTAGCAGAAAAGCTCCCAGAGACGGGCCCACTTGTTACCAAGGTGCCGCGTTCGCGGCGTGGAGAGCGGTTCGTTCGTCCCCTACACGCGTAGCAGGCGTGCTGTGCGCGTTCCCCCCATGTCTACGTATCTCCATGGCATTAAAAGGCCTTGCGACGTGTCGCTGCTGCGCTGCTCTCCTCGGCGAAATGCTCAGGCGGGTGTTGCGCCTGTACCAGGGCTTGATGATCGGAGAGCTTACCGCCGGGCAGACTGGACGCGGATACTGACTGCTAAGCCGCCGGCTCGGGACCGAGGGAAGCACCGGGGCCAGTTAATTTGGAAGAGGCCTGCCGCTATAAGTATGCCTTGAGGCTTGCTTCCCACGGTAGGGGGAGACGGGCGACGGAAGGCGACGAAGTGAATGGTTACTATGCACGACGCGCAGAAGGTTAACGTGAACCTGTAGCTCGAGCCCTACATGCGGAGGAGGCGTGGAGGCTGGGATCACTGCCTATTTGCGTTGCATGTGCGCGGCCGCGGATGCCGTGTGCGAGCTGATGCGCATCTTGGCGGCGGGCGGTGTCGCTCGGAATAAACAAGCCCGTAGCCATCTGTATAAGTAGCACATATAACAGCATCTGTGATGCCCGCAAAAATAGGTGTATAAGTATAGGTGCCCATTTTTGGGGCGCGCAGAAATAGAGCGGACTGACGTCACGCCGTGTACTTATTGTTGTTATGTTCATATTTGTTATCGTCCTCGCGTCTGTTGTTATCTTCATAGTTGTTATCTTCAAGGACTCCGCGTCTGTTGTTATGTTCCGTTATAGCTGAGGCTGGCCGTTGCTGGAGTTGTCGAGGCCGTCTGCTGAACAATACATCCGGTTGCTTATTTGTATTAGACAACGACGACTGTTGATCTGCCACCTCCGTTCGGCTGCCGCGCGACATCTGCACAGCATCTATAGTCTACCGAGCTCTCTGCCGACCCGCCGCTTCCCTCTCCCTCTCTATATCTCCTCCTCTCTCCCCCGCCGACTCCGCAGGCATTTCCTTCGTTCTTCTGCCCCTCAGCCTGGTGCTTTGTTCTCCTTCTCTGCTCTTTGCTTAATCTTCCGCGTCTGGCACGTTCTTCTCCATCCCAACCACTCACACCTTCGCTGCCCCCTATCTGCCATCATGTCTCTCAAGGCCGAACTCGAGACCTGGGCTTCCGCCCTCAAGGCATACGACGAGGAGAACTTTGACAAGTCTCTCCAGCTCTTCTCCGAGATCGGAGACTCCTCCAAGATCCTCACCAACATGGGCCTCATCTATGCCACCCTTGGCGAGCACGACGCCGCCGTCGAGCAGTTCACCGCTGCCACACAACTAGACCAGTATCTTGCCGTCGCGTGAGTGCTACACCTTGTCTTTCTGCGTCCTGCGCGCCTCCACGATCACGCTGTGCGGGCCACAGCCTCGGCTACACGTTCCTTCGTTGCTCTCGGTGTCTGGCGGCATGTCCCTCTCCATCAGGGCCATACATTCTTCTCTCTTGAGAATTACCGATATGTTAGCACTTCTTGCTCAGCGGCGCCTGTGCATTAACCACTACGTAACCCGGTCTCACGTTCTCTTATCGCCTGTACTCCGCCCTGGTCGGGGGCCGTTATTGACATAACGGATGCGGTGACATCTGGCAACAGCGCTCGGACATGTCCCCTCGCATGCAGTTGTTTCGGTGATCATGTTCCGTAGCCCCTAATGTCAGGGTGGCACGGTATCTTGCAGACCTTAATCTCAGCTTTGACCAGTCATACATGTTGTCACGCGTTTGTCACTACGTCTAGTCTCGGTTCTAGATGTTCTTCTAGCAGTGTGGCCGCTGGTGGAGACTGCCGAGCAGGTGTCAAACAAATGAGTGCGCGCGACACTACCAGAACGTCTGGGCCGTTAGGAGTCATCATTTGTGTCGTGCAGCGCTTATGTCTGCCAGGTAAGGGTGATATGTTCGCCCCTGACCAATACCCCAAATCTGATGCTCGCAGCTGGTGCAAATGAGAGGCAGGGGTTACTCGTACCCGTCTTACTAGATGGAGCATTGCTTTGCACGGGTACTTGTCTCAGGGCCCCTTTCCTGCGCATTGAGGCCTGTGCCCGCGATATACATCCTCTGGACGCCACGCGCTGACTTCCTATTCCCCAGATACTTCCAATGCGGCGTGTCCAACTTCCTTCTCGGCCGCTACGAGACGTCTCTGCGTGACTTTGACGACGCGCTCCTCTACCTCCGCGGCAATGGCGACATCAACTACGAGCAACTTGGGCTCAAGTTCAAGCTTTACAGCGCCGAGGTGCTCTTCAACAAGGGCCTCGCCCACATCTACATGGGCCAGGTCGACCAGGGCCTCGCCGAGCTCCAGGAGGCGCGCAAAGAGAAGGTCACCCCCGAACACAGCGTCATCGATGATGCCATTGCCGATCGCGGCGACGGCTACACCGTATTCAGCATCGTGAGTCCTATGCGTGATCCGTTCGCCCATGCGCTGACAGGCTCCGCCGCAGCCCGTCGGCGTGCTGTACCGCCCCGCCGAAAAGAAGCTCAAGAATGCAAAGACGAAGGACTACATGGGCAAGGCCGTGCGTATATCTTCCGCAGGCCGCTCCTGCCGTGCTGACACCGCCTCCCGCAGAAACTGATCGCCACCGAGGACGCGAGCGAGGCGTTCACAGAGTTCACTGGCGTCGCGCGCATGCGGCAGGGCGTGAGTCCTACCGGCGCCACCGACTTTGGTCCCGGCGGCCTCCAACGCGCCGCCACCGTCTCCAACCCCACGCCTCCGCCCAGTATGTCTTCCTCCCTCCGTGCCGCGCCTCTGCTGACCCCGCTCCACAGAGTCTGATGACTATGTCCGTAGCGCTGCCCTTCAGCGCGCCAACACGACCATCAACGTCTCCGTCGACCGCTTCCGCTCCAACCCCGCCAGCCCTGCGTCCCCGGCCACCTCCCCTGGCTCTGGCCCTCCGAGTGCCCCCGCGCTCTCCCGCAACGCTTCCTTCGCCGGTCGCATGCAGCCCACACGCGGGCTCTCTATCCGCAAGCCAGGCACGGACGCCCCGCCGCCGTCCACGCGCGGGATGCGCACGACCGAGTTCTACGACTCGTACCTCGACTCGTACGCAGACGCACCGAGCGCGCTGCCGCCGGTGCCCGAGGCGCGCCCTGCGCCCGCGGCAGTCCGCCGTGCCCCGTCGAGGGCGCGCGCGGCGCCGCAGAGCACGTACAGCAACGGGAGCGTGCGCCGGCGGCCGACGCGGCGCGGGACGGTGCGCTCGCGGTACGAGGAAGAAGAGGAGGAGGGGTACGGGAGCGGCGAGTACGAGTACGAGCGGGAGGAGGACGGGTTCGTGAAGATCCGGGTGAAGCTGCACTACGCGGACGACGTGCGCGGGATGGCGCTGAGCCCGGGGATGCCGTGGGAGGAGTTCCTGGAGCGGGTGACGGGCAAGTTTGGGCGGGAGCTGGATGGGCTGGGGATGAAGTTCAAGGACGAGGACGGCGGGATGGTGTCGCTGCGGGACGAGATGGACTATGAGCTCGCGATTGAGACGGCGCGCGAGCAGGCGAAGGGCAAGCCCGAGGGCCGGCTCGAGATCTGGTGCACCGACGAGTGAGTGAGCGGTGGCGGGCTGTGTGCGTGCGGCTCGTCTTGGTATGGCTTAATGTTTTGATTTTGGAGAACGATCTCGTTCCTTGCTGGGACTACGTGCTTGTTGTCGACGATTGTACTACACCCTGTGAATCTATGCTGCTCGCCCACGGCGTAGCGGACGCTCATGTTTGTGGCGCGTGCGTGGGTGACGCAATGAAAATATGTATACGGTAGTGCGTACCGACTCCCTCATGACATGCATGGCTAGGTGAATATGTGTGTTAATTGAGAGCACATAATGTATTCGTGCGACGCGACACCTATGTACGGCAGCAAATGGTTTTGCGAGAAACAAGATAAATCTGGAGGGGCGCTCGCCCGACAGGCGTCCACCGATCACGATCAATGGTCCTTCCGATTTTTGTTTTCTCGGCTCCGCTCCAGATGTTGTCACCGCTCTCAGCGCCCCACGACTAACCGTCCTTCCGGGAATGCGACTCGGAGCTCGCAGTCAGAAGGCCATGGGGACAAGACCACGCCGGGCCTAACCTTGAATGTAGGACAAGGGACTTCAATATCTACAGCACCTTCCTAGGCTTGCAGTATTGAGCATCTTCACAGGAGCAACCAAAATATAAGACCCATGCTAAAGCTATGTATATGATAAACATGTGTCATTCGCATCATATCCCATTGGCGCACAGTGCGAACAGATTGTGTTTCGTCCATACACTGTAAGTACTCAAGATTCTCGAGGACAAAGATCGTAGATATAGATTGGTATGGAGGTTTGCTCTGGCATCATTTAGTTCACCGCGCAGCCGAATGCCTCGGATGTACTGCTGGTGCCACTTACGAATCGTGCTGCCCTGCATAAACGTCGTGACATTCAAGCACCCTGAAACACTCATAGACATGTAACTCATTCAGTTGTCACTCTCGGACAAAAAATAGACATAGTCTTTCTACTTTGCATAATGTAGAGGATGCGCCGTGGGCTACTCGGATAATGTCTAACGCCGCAGATGAAGCACAAGTGCGACACTTGACAAGAACACAACCAGGTCAGTTACCAGGTACGTCATCCCATGCGTGTCACAGTTCAATGATTAAATATACATGTCCGATACTAATCATAGAACATCCCACCATCTATGTTGATGGATTGCCCTATTTCATCGCCACAGATCTTGGTTAACATGTAACTGTAGCCTGATATTGTGGCACGTACCTGTGATATGATATGCCTCCGGTTTGACCAGGTAGGACACCAGCCCCGCGACAATTTCAGGTTCCGCGTCAGGTATATCCAAAGGGAGACCTGCCATCTACGTGGAGTTAGGAGTCCGTCACTAGGGTGAGCCGTTTGTGCTCACCTTCTTAGCTGTAGACGCAGGTCCACCGTTGATGTCATCGTCTGGATGAAGGACTAACTTCTTCGTGAGTATCGTCAGAGGTTCGTACAGGTTGTACTCACTCATCGGCGTGAGTATTCCACCTGGAGCATAGTTGTTCACGGTGATTTTGTACTTTGCCCACTCCGCCGCTGCAAACTCAGTCAGCAACATATACAGTTCGTTGGCGGATATCGTAACGTACCACAGCTTTGGGTGAGGCCCCGCACAGCAAATTTGGACGCACTGTAGACTGCCATATTCTGAATTCCTATTCGTGGGTATGTCAGGACTTGGCTGTTATGGATAGGACAGTACCGTCACCTTTCTTTCCAGAACCGGAGCAGGCACCTGCAATAGCTTGATGTCAGTGTAACATTGACATGGAGACCCATGTCTGCGTACCGATCAATCGTCCACCACGACCCTGCTTAGCCATCTCCTGGGCTGCGTGTTTGAAGCAAAGCATCACGCCTTGGACGTTGACAGCCATTATGCGTTCGAAGTCCTCAACCGTGGCTGGACAGGCTTCCAGCCACTCTACACGCATGAAATAAGGTATGATACTGACTATCGAACATCGGTTTGAACATTGTCACGCCAGCATTCGCAACCATCTAGTGCAACTTGTCAGCGACCGACGATGCACATGGTGGACAGACCAGCTTACCACATCGAGCCCTCCCAGCTCGCTGACGGTCTTTTTCACCATCATAATAACGTCGGGCTCATGCGACACGTCTCCGGGAATTATGATTGCGCGTCGGCCTTTGTGCTGAATCTGCTGGACGACAGAGGCTAGTTGGTCGGCCTTAGTTGAGATGTCGTTCACAGCGATGTCCAGTCCGTCATCAGCAAGGCGGAGAGCAATAGCCTTGCCAATGCCTTGGGCTGCTCCCGTGACAATCGCAACTCGGGTTGGAGAGGACTGAGCCTGCTTCGTCATTGGTGAGAGCAATGAAGTGTATGTGTCTCGGCGGTGCTGGAAGTCAAGCTTGCGAAGGTAGAGTCAAATCTAAAGCGTGTTATATTGTGAGTCTTAGGAGACTTCGCCGCCGCAGCACCCCACCACCGCGAAAAGGGGGTCTGGGGCAGTTAGATAGGCGCACCCCCCTTGGCTTGAGCGCCCTACAAGCGCCGGAATGTAACGGTCACAGTAGGCTTCTGGTACCTAGAAATGATGCAATCATTGATCGCTTACCAAATCCGGTACTCACACCTAGGGCGCTTAAGCCAGGGGGGGTGCGCAGGACCCCCGAATATAGGGGGGGAACCCTGATCCCAATTTCTCAAAAGTTGGTCAATTTGTACGGCAGAAATTTCCGATTTTCGGCCTGATATGTCCGGAAAAAATCAGGCTGCCGCCTGATTTGGGCCAAAATGTCCGGAATTTGTATCTTTTTGGACCAGGGTGTCGAAAATCAGCGATTTGTCCGGAAATGATGGATCAGGGTTCCCAGAAACACAATTTCGCCCCCGACTTCGATTCTGACATTGTAATGCAGACTGGACACTCGTACTTGTGCTATGTAGCGTCGCAATATGAACTCTGTGCAAGCACCTTTGTCCCCTGGACCTGTGTGATTTTAGAGGTGGCCACTTTCTTTGTCTTCTTGCGTGCAGCACTAAGCATTTTCACTGCCATGATACAAGATAGGCAGCTTGGGGTGCTCAGAAAAAGTGGCATTGTCGAGTTTGAGAATGCGCTCATCCGTAGTTATGTGATGTGAACTACATAGATGGCAAAAAATCAATCTGACGAAATGTGTGAGCAAACGAGAGGCACTTAGAATACCGGCCGCTAATGAGCCCACATTTTGACACTATAAGTAGACATGTACAGGTTGCAGAAATGCTAACATTCAATATATTATCCTCGAGCACGACATGACGCGATGTCGTGGGATCGTCCACATGCATGTCACATGACAGCGGACATTCAAACCTGGCCAGGCATAAGCGCGGAGCAGGCTTGTCCGTCTTCTGATCAGGCTTCCGGCATTGGCCGGAGTATGTCCGGAAATCGTACCAGGGATGAGGGTTATGACAGACTGGTTTTGTCCGGGAAAATATCAGGGATCAGGGTCCAAAATCGCCCAGATTTGTCCGGAATGGGATCATGGTTCCTCCCCAATATTCGGGGGTCCTGGGTGCGCCTATCTAACTGCCCCAGACCCCCTTTTCGCGGTGGTGGGGTGCGGATACAGGGGGATGGGTACGAGACAAGCCCGTGGTTGCCGCAGGGGCGGGTCTTCGGCTAGAGCACGACTCCGTCCGCTTACCTTCACCGAGCCTCCGCGCTTGTACAAAATCAAAGACGTCGAGTGAAGGGGGGACGCGCACAACGAATTAGCTACTAGACTGTAGATTTCCTGGCCATACGCTAGCTGTGCAGATAATCCATCTGCTCAACAAAGGCATCGTCGTTCTGGGCTGTCGCTAGTCTCCCCTGGGCAGCCTACAAATAGGACGCCCGTTTTGATGGTCGGATGGTCACTATAGGCCGTCGCGTTGGGGCCTTTACCATTACGCTAACTAGGGCGCTCACAGGACACGCAGGGTGAGAAACAGATTTGTTGGGTGATCGGCTCTTGATGATGAAACATTTCTTCGCATGCAGAACTAGTCTTTCGCTATCTGTCCACGATCGCTGTGTTCGTGCAGAGTATATAAGCTGATGTCTGAGCGAACGCAATTTCGCTGACGCACAACATCGACGAGGATATCCCAATCTTGCCTAATAAAGGTGCGTCAGGACCCGGATCGATGCACGGACTGCGATGACGGCCATTGGTCCGTTGTTTCCAGAGCCCGCCTAAACATTGCGGGAGAAGTCCGCTTGCGCGCAGAACTTTGTGTTCAGCAGGCGTACATGAGTGTTAGGGAGTTGCTCACGACTGCGTTCGCAAGTCTCGGGTTCACAATCCACTTTGTCATTCTTGCGTCAATCGATACGTCGAAGTCTTCCACACAATTGTAAAATCCATCATCTCGTGAGTTTACACATCGGTGCTGTCAGACTCAGCTGCAAGAGTCTGCTTATGCCTCAACATGAAGCTGTGGCCAGCTTTCGCGGTAGTGTGGCGCTCAGGATTATAGTAGTTCACAGAGACAGAATCGTATCCATGTACATCTCAGGCAATATCAACGAAAGGGGTAAGTCACATAGTCAACGGAAGCATGTCAGAATGACCAGAAATGGAGGCTGACCCGATGATACAGCCGTGGCCCTGTCATGGCGGTATTGCACTGTCGAGTCTGGAAGAATGTGGTTATACCCAGGCCCGGCGGCCACCGACGCTAGGTACAGTATGAGGGCTGCGATTGCGACCGTAGCGCGATGAAACTTGCCGGTGATCACTAACTGGAAATCACCACGTAGACAACAGTGGAGACTCAACCACAGCAGCTTGTAAACTCACATTGTCAGAAGAACAGGGCGACGCAGCTGTAACGAAAGTTAGCAGTCGAATCTACTAGGTAGTCCTTAATTATGTTTCAGCACTGACAGAAACTACGACGACGTGAATACTGACTCCAATTACCCTGTGAGAAGATGGCGATGTTGCCACATTCTGTGACGAAGAGGGAGAACATCCTGTTGGAAACACTTGAACCGGCGGAAATGTGTCGATGCTGCACAGCTGTCGACGCCACAGCATTAGAGGTCGTAAAAATCACCACCAGCAACCCCCTCATGGTACATGTAAGTCCGTGACCTGCGGGTATCCATATAGATTAAGGATTGAATACGAGATATGGTAAACTACATTGTCCTTGTTAGAACACGCGAAGATATGGCCGCTAGTACCCTGTAGGTCGTGCCCCTGTTTGCGATGTGTCGTATGCTCGGATAATACGGGCTTGATCTTGTCGTGATGAATTTTCTGTTTGGCTGAACGCAAAGCCTCGATTCCGTCGCATACGTTGTACGGCGCGGACCTTCTTAATCGCCTTCTGAAATCTTATCACAGCGTGTTAGACATGCACTTGCAATTCTCACTGATGGTACATACTGTTCCTGTCGGGGTCGGTAATCGGGGATATTGTATTTCTGTATCTCCTGTGCGATATGGTAGCTCTCCGGTCGATACGTTCTCCGGTAGCTGGGATAGCTGGTGAGAGTGACCATTCATGTGTATATGATCGACTTACTATTTCCACGCGAAATCCCTTGTGAGGCAGAAGATCGGAACAAGGATGAGCATGAAGTAGAAGACAGCGTTTGTCCACAGACGAGGAACAAGGCCTTCATACTCGAGAGAGAATCCGATAGCAGGGGCGACCACGGCGTAGATTGGCAGGAAGATCATGGCGAATACAAATGAGCCGGGAATAGCTGAAGAATGGGTATACTCAGTCTTGTGTCATCAATGCAACAACAGCCATATTTACCCGCGACTGTATATTTCGTCCAAAGGCTGATAATTGCAGTTTGTGAGCTTAATGAAGAGGTTGCCTGAACATCAATCACTGACTCTGATATAAGGGCGGCCTTGCCAAGGACAGTAAGCAAGACCGCCAGGTAGAGCATTGTGCCCCAGAACCAATGCCCGGAGTCGTAGCCAGACGATTGCTTCAAGTCTCCCCAAAAAAGGATAACGGAGAAGCCGAAGAGGATCTAGACGATGTTCAAGTCTAAGTAAGTTGTTTATAGTTGAGGAATTGCACTTACGACACTGTGGTAGAGTGCATTCGCGACCCAGAGCCAGAATGCTGTTTTGGTGAAAAATGCATTCCTTTGGCCAAGCATGTACAACTGTGGATAGCGATCGAGAATGCGAGCAGAGACGAATTGGTCGAAAACACCGATGACGAATGGCGGGAGAACAGTGAAGATGACGTTGTACATTGACAGCGTCCACGATTCATACACGATTTCTCCAGAGAAACTATTGAAGAACGAATACTACGGAAAGAAACGTCAGCTACAAATTGTACGCGGTTTGATGAGGTCCGTACCCAAAATTGCGTCATGTACAACACGATGTTTTTGTAGAATGAATCTGGTGGCGTATGGGGTTACTCAACGCTAGGCAGTCGATATGACGATGACGTACACAATAGAAGCTTAGATAGTCTTTGATAGCTCCAGGCTCCGTGGACCAGAAGTAGCTTCTTCAAGAATCGGAATTGTGAAATAGCGACGTCCGCCGATCTCGCAGCTTGTAGACCCTGGCTATACGTCAGCAACTTGACTAAGCACAGGCAGCATTGTCTCACCTCAAGACCAGAAATTCCAACACCGACGTGGGCGGCCTGGATCATACTGACGTCGTTCGCGCCGTCGCCTATTGCCAAAAGGATGGACTTCTGGTTCTTTTTAACAAGCTTCACGACCAAAGCCTTCTGGAGAGGAGAAACACGGCCTGGAAAGTCATGTTAATTGTACCCAGAGACCTCATATGGCCAGTAACGCACAGCAGATGACCGCCTTGCACATCAAAGCTAGCTCGAGGAACGCGCCCGAAATTTCCTTCTCCAGCGCAAACCCAAGGCTTTTGCCGTCTGTCAGAGTTGCCTGGTATGAGACTTGTACTAGAAAACGTTTAGCAGACTAACCAATGATGAGCGCGAGGTCTTCCAGTTCGCCGAGCTCGCCTGTGCTACGCTGATTCTTGATGGCTGACAGTCGTTTAGTTATAAATTCCTGCGTCCCAAGCATCGTCTCTTCGTTCACAATGATCTAATCCATGATCAGCCAGTCATATCCTATGAGCTTGACTAGACTACGAACCAAGTTCATGGACTCGGAAATAAGCCTGCAGGACATGCCAATGTTGATCGCCGTCTCCTGCCGATCACCTGTCAAGACCCAAACCTGGCATCGTCAACGCGCTCCGTCAGTTGAGCCGTGAGGCTACCAGTGCGACAACGGACTGACCTTGATGCCAGCCATTTGCAAAGTGTGGATCGTGTCGGGCACGCCATCCTGTAATTTATCCTCGATGGCGGTGGCACCGAGTAGGTTCAAGTCTTTCTCGATGAGCTCAGCCGCGCTGTCCAGCGCATCGCCTCGCCCGTTGATCGTAGCCGCCGCTTGGTCGTAGACTGCAACCCATTGCCGGTACTCAGCCTCAGGGATGTCACGCGACGCAATGCAGAGTGTGCGCAATCCGTCAGTCGCATAATCCTGACAGTTACAAGCTCTCAGTCGACGTCCGTCAGAACAATGCGAGCTAGACTTACCTCCAAATGTAGAAGCGTCTTATCCGTAAAGGGCTGCTTCTCGCTCAGACGCTCGAGGATAACCGTGTCAGCGCCCTTACAGAACAACTTGATACGGCCGTCCGGACACCGCACTACCGTAGACATGCGCTTCCGCGTTGAATTGAATTCACACACATTGAGGATCTGGAACTCTTGTGACTGTCCCATAACGTTTATGAAAACGGACTTGGGCTTCCGTGTCTAGGGTGCACTATGAGAACTTGCCCAGCAGCTACACAGCAGATGGCGGGACTCACGTGAAACTGATAGCCTAGTAGCTCCGCACCTGCGACTAGTGCGGCCTCGTCTGGGCTACTTGCTTGGTAGTGCATCTTGCCGTCACGTACCTCCGGGATGACCGTATGGCACACAGCAAGTAGCGTCAGGAATTCGTTAATGACCTCCCGGTCGCCCCCCACATCTGGCGTCATATCCACAAACGGGTTTTCACCTCCATCGAGCACGGCTTTCATATGCGCAAACGTCCTCCAGCCGTCCTTACCGTCCTCCTCTTCTCCGCGTCGGCTCTCCTCCACCACTTCCGCGTACGCGACCCCGCCAATGCTGCAAAAGCGGAACTCCATCTCGTTGCACGTCAGTGTTCCCGTTTTGTCGCTGAACACATATTCGATCTGCCCGAGCTCCTCGACGAGCGACGATGTGCGACATAGCGCGGGAGTGTCCGTCTTTGCATAGTACATGTCCAGGTCAAAGTTGATGAGCTGTGCCTGCTGGAACTTCACCACCTCCATCGTGACAATGAGGGAAATAGGAATCAGATTGTTGTACAGGATGATGAATGTGAGGATGTCTGCAATGCATCAGCCGACGCCAATCGAGATGTCCGCGTGCATTCGCACCTTCGATGAACTGTTTTGCTGTAATGATATCGGGTGAGCGCATACATATTGTTAATTTGCATTCCACCTACCTCGGCCTCCCAGTGACGACGACGAATACAGATACCATTCTGAGCTCGAGTAGAACCACTATATAACATACAGTTGAGATACAGGCCCACAAGCTTTTGCAAGACTCACCGTTCGGATGCTGCTTCCGATCGTCGAACCAATTGAAAGCGCCAGCAAAAACATGAACAAGAACACAATGTGTACATTGACCTGTCGCTCCACTGCCGTCCGCTTGATCGGCGCAGCGCTGCACATCCATTAAATTCCCTGCTGAAACACAGGCCACGTCATGCCGCACTCACGTCGCGTTCTGCATCAACTTTGTCTCATGCCCAGTGAAGACAACTAGTCCGTACGCCCACGGCGTGTTTCGGATCTGCGCGCCCCGCAGCAACAATTGATCGGGGCCTAGAGGCACTTGCCGCGGCAGGCCTTCATTCGTCGTCAGCTCGATGATGCCTTCATACGTGTACAGCGAGTTATTCGGGTGTTCCGAGCGCAGCGTGCCTTGCAGCGACGTAACGAGCTGCGGGGACGTCAGGTGTGCCGTCTGGGGCGATGCCTGCTTGATCTTGAGGTTCGTCTCACTGCGCCGAGATCAAGGTCTCAGTAAAGATCAGTACCAAGGTGTGTAATACTCACCCGTCGAGGTTTGACGTCTCGATATAACAGAATCCCTCCGGCTCGCTCGAACTGATCAGGATCACGTCTGCGGGGATCGAGTCGTCACTTTCGAGCCGAATCACGTCGCCGACCTGGATGTCCTTCCACTTCTTGTCGGCGAATGTTCCCACCGGCGTGAGCACTTTCGCCTTGCTTGCATTGAGCTCCGAGTCGGATTGATGTCGTTTCTGAATAGAGCGTCAGAACATCCACGCACGGCAAGTCAACTTTGCAAACTGCTGAGACTACTGTACGACAGCCGAAATATCGTGACCAGTGCTTACACGATCGCTGAATTGGACCTGGAAGCCTGACCATATACGACGTCGCCGACCCCAAATCCTGAGTCGTATACAGCGGTAGGCCAGCCTCATTCTGCCACCTACCCAAGGTGTCAGAATGACTGCATGTGATAGAAATACCTCGCGCGATGAACGCATCCTGCCAACAAACAAAGCGACAAATTTAGTCACCAATAGTAACGCATGTGTCCAGGACACACGCCACGCTGTGACACGTTTACACCAACTCGGCAAGGCGGCGACGATGTTGGCGACATTAAAATAACCTGGCGCCCTACGGCCTTGTTTGGGAAGTTGCCTGAACGGCGGTTCAGCAGACAGATTCCCTGTACAGCCACATCACCGGAAACCACTGTGGAGGTTCCCATAATAAAAGTCGGGAGGTATGGGGCAGCACCTGACACACTCAGGAGGCCAGGAGACGAGCAAGGGAAGACATTCACCAAGATGATGACATGACCATGTACTCCCAACCCGCTAAGGAGTATAATGCGGGCGCGAGGCCACGCTCCCATCCCATTCTGCTAACGAAACCAGATCCAGATCCATGATGCTCACAATATCTTCCTGAGTCTCCTTAAATGCCGATGCGAGCAGCACAACGGCAAGAGGTGCAATGGTAGTCCAGCGGTTTGTAGGCGACACGCCTGGAATCTGCTGTATGAGAGCCGTAAACAGGAAGAACAAGTTGGCATATTTCGAGAATTGCTCTGTGTAGACGGTCAATATTGGCACGCGAGCCAATGTCCGGGAACCTTCGACGCGATGCACCCACCAAATAGAAACTTGGGTACGAACGAGACAACGTTGTATTTGCTCGTTGACACGTAGTTCGAGCAAAATTCGGCGTTTGCGACGGGATGGTTGAGGACGACTACCCGGTTCCCTTGTAAGACCTCTTCTTTCTTGCTCCACGGCCACCTCCACCGTTGCTTGAACGACTTGGACGGTCGCTTCTGATGGTGCTTTGCATTCACGCCTGCTGGTGGTTTCCCGGGCGGTGGCGCAGGATGCTGCCCGGGGATGTCGTCCTCAAACGACCAGTCGGAAGGGATTGTGTTGTTCAGTGTCAGCTGCGAATGGCCGGCGGGTGCAGCGCCGGAGCGAGCAAGCGGAAGGCCGCTTTCCTGGGAGTGCATGGCTGCGGGTGCGCCAAATGCTGAGTCTGGAGCCTCATACTCGTCGTCGTCGTCGAAGAAGGGATCGAGCTGCTGCGAGGAGGAGGGATAACCATTGTTGGCAGGCTGATACTGGCGAGCTGCTGGGTTTGCCTGAGAGACGAGGCGAATAAAGTCCTCGCTCATCGTAACCAGCGACGAGCAGAGTGAGTTGAGAGGGAAAGATGTGAGGGTATATCGGGCGCAGCTGTTACACAGGTCTAACCCTTCCTCACCGACACATTCGCCCACGGGTTTGGCGGGGCCGCCCGTGCATGCATCAGCAAACGATGATCCAGCCCTGCACCCCAATAGGGCCTTGTAGTGTAGTGGTATTATCACTTGGGATTTTGAAAGTCGGTCTCTCTTTGATCGCACTGAATTCTTCCCAAAACCCAGGTTCGAACCCTGGCAAGGCCTTAAACATTTTGTCCTTCGTAGCTGTTGTTTGCTCTCGTTAGGATAGAAGTCTAAGTGCCTTGTACGATCACACTGCATGCGGTATTCAATTTTCTAGTACAAGAAATCAAATAAAAATCGAAAGAAAAGTTAATTTTTCTAATCAGTATTCTGGCGCCTAATATGGAAGTGAAATCGAAGAAAAATAGATTATGTAATCCATTTTCCATTGTCCCTTTCAATTTTCCTTCGATTTTTCTCCAATTTCCATTCAATCTCTACATCAGTAAGATTCAATAGGTGCTATTTGCTTTTAATTCAATTATGATTTGATATTTTGTGCAGGAAAATTGATTCCTGCATGCAGTGTCATGGACCCTCGGGGTTTGATTATATGACCTTGTGGCATCATTATTCTCTTTACGCGACGTTCTCATTTTCGTCCTGCGTGCTAGTGGCTAGTGTGTCCATAACGGGAAGTAATCTGAGGTTTCGTTTCCCAATTTCAGACATTTCACTCGACATGGCGCTGAAGTCATACACCCATGACCATGTTGAGCGGGCCGGGCCATAGGAGGGAGCGGGCAGCGGGACTCCCTCTGGCACGGATTTCCTCGTTTCTCATCGTGCACACCCAGATACATAAAAGCAACGACAACCATATCACAGATTATTCCCACATCGCCCTCACACTCCATTGGCAACACGAGTCATGGCTGCGCCCATCCCATACTTCACTTTCAATAATGGCATTAAAGTGCCCTCCGTCGGCATGGGGTGAGTCGCTTCTTATGCAGACAACTCGGTGATAAACAATCGCTGACGCGTCGCCCAGATGCTGGATGGGGACACCGGGCGGCGGGGAAACTGTCGAGCTCATGTGCAAGAACGCGCTGAAGGTCCGTCACGCTTAGTCGCGTACATGATTGCACGCTTAGACACGTAGACTCACGTCTATGCGGCGGGCAGTGCGGGTATAGGCACCTGGACACGGTGAGCGAGGACGCACTTGCGGTAGCCAACACTCTCACAGCGACGTTCCCATTCTTCCTAGGCATTCGGATACGGTCAGTGCTGATTTTGAGCGTATCAGATCGTGCGGTCCTGACGTCTTTCCTCTCCAAACATTTCGCAGGTAATGAAGAACACGTTGGCAAAGCCATCCGTGAATCGGGCATCCCGCGCGAAGAGATCTTCGTGACGACCAAGCTCCCGTAGGTGCAGAGCACCGAGCTGGTCAGACTCCGCGTTGACTTTAGAATACTCCATAGAAACCAACACCACCACAAAGTCGCCGAGTCGTTTCAGCAGTCATTGAATGCGCTGGGGCTCGACTATGTCGACCTATATCTGATCCATTGGCCTCAGGCAGACACAGAGTCTGGTTCGTACCGCGCGACAAATTGTATCCGACTTCGATTGATCCGCTCCCCTAGGTGAGCACATACCGTGCGGTGAGAGCCCGACGCTTGTCGAGACGTGGAAGCAGATGGAGAAGCTGCTTGACACAGGTACGTCTCGCGCACCCGCCTACTTAGGGGCAGCGCTGACCAGCACGTCCCCCAGGCAAGGTCAAGTCGATTGGCGTGTCTAATTTTTCAATTAGAACTCTCAACGAGATCCTCCCGCACTGCAATGTTGTTCCGGTAACGAACCAGGTTGAGCTCCACCCGTGCCTACCGTCGTTCGAACTACAGCAGTTTTGCGAGGAGAAGGGCATCCTTCTGACAGCGTACTCGCCGCTCGGTCAGCCGTTTCGCCTCCTACTACCCTCCTGCTTCTGATGACATGACGCGCGCAGGTCGGCCTATGCCGGGACAGGACAGGCCCGTGCTGTTCACAGATCCCGACATTGTCTCCGTTGGACAGAAGCACAGTGCTTCGCCCTCGCAAATACTCATAAGTTGGGGCGTGAAACGCGGGATCATTGTGATCCCAAAGAGCGAGAACGTCGAGCGCATGAAAGCGAACATCACCGTGCGTTCTGTTTTGCTTGTTTGGGTGGCAGTGTTGACAATGTGCGCCGCATAGCTGGTTGACCTGGCAGAAGATGACATGGCTGCGCTGAACGCTGTACACAGGAAGCCTGGCCTGCACCGGTCATTGCTCAGCTACCACAATTATACAGACGACGGATTTATATTTGGGTGGACGTATGACCAGCTCGGGTGGAATATGAAGAAGGGAGGTATCGTTGTAGATTAATGGATAGGTGTATAGGCATCCGGCAGTGTCTCGCGAGGATGAATATATATGGTGGGGCTGTTTCCGAGGGTATAATTGGTTTACTCGAGTCTGGTTGAATCTACAAGCTCTGAATGTGCACATCGCGGCGCGTAATATGCTGGGCCTGGATTCTTGACCTCGGTAAGAGCCAAATGGCCGGCGTTGAATAGGATCTGAATCTCGATCGCGACCACGTGCCCGCGTGGCCGCCTTGGTGAACCGTGTCTGAGACTGGCCGCTCGCCTCTCCCCACCTCGCCTTTCTCATCCGCTCTGCATGCTCCTTCGTCTGCTAACCACGACCACGCCTCGTACTAGACAACATTGCACACCAACTCATACTATCTTGCCCACATTGCAGCTATGCGATTCCACGCGCCACGGTCCGCGTCTCCTTCTCCTGAACGAGGGTGCGCCGCGACCTTGCTGAAGGCTTCTCGCTCACTGAATCCGCAGCAGCTCATACAGGAGCCAGTCGACATACGGCCTGAACTCCGAGTCCGACGATGACTCTGACGCTGAGTCTGCTGCGAGTTCTGCGTCGACCGACTCGTTCTGTTACCGGTCAGAATCTGAGGTCCCGCCTCCCCCACCGTGAGTCCACCTTCCAGCGCCGCATAGTGCGCGTCATTCTCCATCTTGAGGTCCCTTGGAACTGTGGCTGGTGCAATTGGGGCGATGGTCGTGGTCTCGATTGTAGACGTTCCCGCTGTGTGAGTATGTCGCGGAGTACGCCAAGTGGGAGCCGAAACAATTCGGCTCGACACACAGCTAGAATCCCCGCTAGCGCGAACAGTGCGTGCATAGTTAACTTCTACGTACATACGCTGAGCAGCACGAGTGCTGCGCACTGTGTATGGACCTGCTCCTGTGAAGCGGGCTCTGCCGTTCGCTCGGGGGAATTGCTCTAGGATCTCCTCTTGCTCACAAGGTACCACGCTGACTGTGAGAATGGCCCCGGATGCTCATGAGAGGAGAGGGCAGATGTTCGCGCAGTTGACAGTGGAACGGTCTGTGCTGACACTGTCGTGAGCCGAGATTGAAGTATCTCTATACCTCACAAAGCGCGAGTCGCTTCGAGACGACTGGGATGCACTTGTCTGTCATATGAGCCTTCCGAGACAAGATTCTGAAGGTCGTAGGTTTCTTCACGGACTGTCCAAGCCCGGAGATCCTCTGTCGACGACTGTGGCTGCTGTTTACCCACTATCGTACCTGCTTCTTGCTATCAAGCCATGGCTATCGTTGGTGCAGCCGCGGGCTGTCTGTCCCATCTCACGTGGGCGCCGGTACTCGCTCCTCTCTGTCTGTCATACCCGCCTTACTTATGCAAGCCCGCATGAGCTACAGTATCCACAGATGACCCACAATTCCCGTAGTGGCATACTCGATGGGTTTTTTGCTTGAATGTCTATCCCAGGGATGCTACTCCCCAAACACAAGATAGAAACCGTGCATGTTGTGGTTGTTGTGGTTAGCATGTACAAGTTATCAAATTCGTGGACCACGTCTCGCCAACAGCCATGATTCTTCTTTGCTCGCAACTGTGTGTACGAACCGGACACTGTGCTAACACATCCTGTCCAGACGACCCCAGCGCCCGCCACGCAGCGCGGCGGAAGAATACTACGTCAAAGACTTTCTGACATCGATCCGCATCCGAGTCAACCACCACGACCCATACGAGGAGTTCAAGCGGAAAACACACGAGGAATCCTTGGTGCGTTTCCCGCGCGTGCCCCTCGCGCCGGCGCGGCAGACTGACCCGCACACATGCACAGCACGTCGCCCGCGTGAACCAGGCGCTCGACAAGCGCGAGCGGCACCAGAAACAGAAGCAGACGCACGCCGCGATGACGCAGATCCGCACGAGCCACCACCAGAAGCAGGTCGAGGCCGTGCAGGCGGCGCTCGCGCACGTCTCGCTGCAGCAGGAGGCGCTCGAGCGCGGGCTGCGCGAGCGCTGGAACGCGCGCAACCGCGCGCTGTGGGAAGGCCTCGAGGGCGTGATCCGCCAGGAGGAGGAGAAGGTGCGCGCGAGGCTTGCGGAGGAGGAGCGCCAGCGCGAGGAGGAGGCGCGCGTGCGCCGTGAAGAGGAGGAGCGCCAACGTGCGGAGGAGGAGCGCAAGCGCAAGGAGGAGGAACAAAAGCGTGCGGAGGAGGAAGAGCGCAAGCACAAGGAGGAGGCACAAGCTGCGGAGGCGAAGCGGCGGGAGGAGGAGGCGAAGACGCGCAAGGAGAGCCTGGCAGCGCAGAAGAAAAAGCGGGAGCTGCTGGGATACACCATTGGCCCCGAGGACTTCAAGTACGGCCAGGATACGTTGAGCGTGGGTCTTGTCTGTGCGCTTTGTATGACACTTGCTTACCACCTGCCCAGTCACTCAAGCGGTTCAGGATGAGGGTCGTGAAGAGCGATCCGAAGCTGAAGGCGGCGTGGAACGCGGCGCGGCGTGTGATCACTCCCAAGATAGGCCAGCTCACGGACGACCCGGCCGCCATCGCGCGCATAGTGAGTCCAGCGTCCCCGCACGAGCACGCAGGGCCCCCTCCTGACTCTATACAGAGCGAGGAGATCTGCAAGACCATAAGTGCACACTCGCAGCCCGTGTTCCACGCACTGCTGTCCTCGCTCGCCAAGGCGATCCTCGTGCAGGCCGAGACGGAGGTGACGGCCGAGCCACGCAGCGCGGTGCCGCTCGCGCAGGTCACGGCGGCGCTGCTCGTCGACCTTATGGACTTTGAGGACATCTTCTGGGCAAAGTTCACGCAGCGGGCGGGGAACTGGCCAGCGGCGGCGCCGACGCCGACGCGGGACGCAGCCGGGGCGCTGCTCGACCCGACGGCGCGGCTCGCGCTTATGGGCGCGCGCAAGGACGAGCCGGCGGCGGCGTACGCGGCGCGCGTCGTGGGGCTGATGCGGGTGTACTTCCACGTGCTGCGGACGAACATGCCGCGGCCGCTGAAGGGGCCGTTCCGCACGACGCGGCTGTGGACGTGGCTGGTGCGCCTGCTGCAGACGCCGGCGCTGCACGGGTACACGATCGCGCCGTACTCGGTACATGGTGCGTGATTGCGCGTGGTTGGACGCGTCTCTTGCTGATGGATTTGGACAGCGCTACTGGAGATTGCCGGAGACGACGGTCGCGAAATATGGGGCGCGCAGTGGGCGAAGCTGCTCGAGGTGCTGTACGAGGGCGTCACGACGGGCTTGGGCGGCGACGAGACGCGGCTGATCGGAGGGAAGTCGGACGAGGCGGTCGCCGCGCGTGCGCGCGTGCGGGTGGAGATTGAGAGACTGCTAGCATCATAGAGATGACTGTTTTCGTGTACTATCATTTTGCTTTGATGTTGGACCCTGGCTGGCCACATTATAATGACTGTTTTGCCGAGCATGGACGGTGTGATACTTGCTCATGGTCAACGGCTAGTATGCATCACCGCTGTTGATAGTGCACGGTCGATCAAACGAGTCGATCTGATCGTCGCCGATCGTGGCACGGTCGACGGGGCGCACGACGAGGGCGACGTCGGGCGGGGCAGTACTAGTGTGAAGGGCAGTGCTTGTGCCCGCAAAGGGGCGCACCGCCCATCGATCGAGCATCATGCAGATATATGATACTGCTTCTGCTCGCGCCTCTCCACCTCCATCTCCCACCATGCAGCGCCATACCTTCACCGCCCTCAACTCCACCTTCGTCGTCGACTCCGAGTATCAGTTCGTCAAGGAGCTCGGCCAGGGCGCGTACGGCTGCGTCGTCTCCGCAAAGCACCGCCGCTCCGGCGAGGGGTGCGCCATCAAGAAGATCACCAACATCAACACCAAAGTGCGCCCTCCCCCTACGCGTCCCTGTCCGTGCTGACTGGTTCCAGAGAATCCTCACAAAGCGATGTCTACGAGAAATCAAGTAAGCCACTGCGCCCCTTGCTCTGCCATCTCCCCTCACGCACATCTAGACTGCTACACCACTTCCGCGGCCATAAGAACGTCCGTGTCCCCGCTCTCCCCAGCCCTGTCCTGCCTTGCTCACAACCTCCCAGATCACATGTCTGTACGACATGGACATCGTCTTCCGTCCAGACGGCAACTTCGACGAGGTGTATCTCTACGAGGAGCTGATGGAGGCCGATCTGCACGCTATTGTATGTCCATCGTACATTGGTTGATGCCCTATCGCCGAGACGCGCCCAACGACCACCAGACTAATCACCCGCGCCCCGCAGATCCGCTCCCAACAGCCGCTCTCGGACGCGCATTTCCAGTCGTTCATATACCAGACTCTTTGTGGCCTCAAATACATCCACTCCGCAAACGTGCTCCACCGCGACCTCAAGCCCGGGAACCTGCTCGTCAACGCGGACTGCGAGCTCAAGATCTGCGACTTTGGCCTCGCGCGCGGCTACAACCCCGGCGGCGGCCCGGGGCAGGCCAAGGCGGCCGCGAACCAGGGCTTCATGACGGAGTACGTCGCCACGCGGTGGTACCGCGCGCCCGAGATCATGCTCAGCTTTGCAAACTACGTGCGTGCCCCTCCGCTCCGGCGTCTGCCCGCGTGTGCGTCTGACCCGCCGCGTGCAGGGCCCTGCGATCGACGTGTGGTCCGTCGGGTGTATCCTCGCGGAGCTCCTCTCCGGCAAGCCCATCTTCAAGGGCAGAGAGTGCGTTCCGCCCCCGCTCGCTCGCGCGCGCGCGCGCACGCTGACGCCTGACTGTGCGCAGCTACGTCGACCAGCTCAACCAGATCCTGCACTACCTCGGGACGCCCTCCGAGGACACGCTCCGCCGGGTCGGCTCGCCGCGTGTACGTTCCCGCGCCTCTTGCTTCTGCCCGCGTCCGCGCACTCACCGCGCGCCCGCAGGCACAAGACTACATCCGCTCGCTGCCGATCAAGCCGCGCGTGCCGTTCCAGACGCTGTTCCCGCGCGCCAACCCGCTCGCGCTCGACCTGCTCTCGCAGCTGCTCAACTTCGACCCCGCAAAGCGCATCACGTGCGAGCAGGCGCTCAACCACCCCTACCTCGCCGTCTGGCACGACCCCGCGGACGAGCCCGTCTGCCCCCAGGTGCGCCCGCTGCCCGCGCACCCTTCGCGCTACTGATCAGCGCCCGCGCTCGCGCGCCGCAGCCGTTCGACTTTGGCTTTGAGGAGGAGGACTCCATCGAGGGCATGAAGCGCCTCATCGTCGAGGAGGTGCAGGCCTTTCGCGCCGAGGTGCGCGCGCAGGCACGCTCCGCGGGCCAGATCCGGCGCCAGGACAGGTGCGCCCCGCTCGCTCGCTCCGCTCCTGCCCGCTTGCTCACCCTCTGCCTATTCCCCCGTGCGCAGCCTGCCGCTCCCCTCGCGCGAGGAGATCCTCAGCTCGCCCGTGCTCGAGCGTGCGCCGCCGAACGGCGCGACGTCCGGGTTCACGGAGGACGCGCACCGCGCGCCGTCGCCGGTGATGGACAACCCGAGCGCGGAGCTGGAGCGCGAGCTCGCGGGCACGCACCTCGGGCGCGCGTGAGGCGCGCTCGCGGGGTGCTGCGGGCGCGTGGGCGACCTCAGTGCGTAAGCGTGTGCGGGCGCGGGCGCAGGAGAGACGGTAATTTATTTATTGCGGTTGACGGGAGAAGGAGGGAAGGGCGCTGGACTGTTGCTCGTCATCGCCGAAGTCCGTATCTGGCCGTACATTGTAGTTTTGACCAAGTTTTCAGACAACAGGATACATTTCCACAGAATCATGTTTATGCAGGTCCACGGCGGCGCCGCTATGGTGCTCATGCGTCAGCGGCGTGCGACCGACCTGACGCGCGAGCCTTTCTTAGCTTATATCGCAGTGCTTGTACATGTAGCAATTCAACGACAGCTCTTGTGGCTGCTGGCGTAGAATGTAAATTGCTCATAACGCTGGAAAGCAGCTAGCCCGTTTCGAGATTTGAGATCATCCTGGCCGAACGCAAGGGGCTCGGCTGAACATGTTTCCAGCCTCTCAAGTTTCTGTTGGTCACACCTCTGCGTCCGGGGCCTAATACGAAAAGGCAGGATACAATCATTTATGCTGTCTCCATTCGCGTAGTATTGTTCACACAATAACATATAAGGCGAGCACGGATCAACTTATTGTTATGATGTCCGTGTGTGTAAGTGTGGCGCGCCGCCGCTGAGCGCAATCCCAGCACACACGCAGGCTCTGCAACGAGCACAGAACTAGAATCGCCGAGACAGCGTGTCAAAACATTATAAGCTTATATAGAACCCTTCAATGAAGAGTATTTTCCCTATACACTGCCAGTGGTATGAGAAGTGCTGTGATGGCAGATGCACGTCTCGCGGTCACATGGGGTCCAGCCGCAATCCTAATTCGTCAATGCGCAGTGAGTCATGTTCCCGGGTTGTACCATGCAGGCGATGACGTTAGCATCCTGTATCTCATCCCGATGCTGTTGGTTCCAAGAAAGTCCTACAGTGTGATTAGTGTTCTTTTCTGTACTTCCCGAGTCTCCTAGGCGGGGACTCGCGAGCTTGCATAGACTGGTTGCGTGACAAATGGCCCAGCAATGATGAAGGGTGCATTTGGCATCGTCCTGTGTCATGTTTGAAGGAAAGATCGCATCAGTGCCATTTGATATTCGAATTGCTCAAAATATTCAGCACCGAGGTCAAAAGGGGTCACTCTTTGAGTATGACCTCTTGATAACCTACTTGGCATGCTATCAGATAGTATCAGGCCGCGCTAGGTCGAGTTTTCGCGCAAAGCTATCCGGATGTGCGGTCGATGACCAGGTCAACCGCCATATCATGGAGACGGAAGCTATAAGATTATCTGCCATGTATTATTCTAGGCAATACGTACCGATCCAGGCTCCATCTCTCTGTCTAAACACTATCCTCGCCACCCCGCGTCCCAATCCTGTCAGCCCTCGAACATCTCCTGAGTGATCTCGATGCCGAAGTTGCTCTTCGCGAACCCACGCATGCTGCGCTCGAGCTCGTCTTCGAAACCCTCGCTACTCAGGCCGAGCCACAGCCGCACGCCCTGTCGCACCTTGCTTACCCAGAACGCGACGTCGATCGAGAACGTGACGAGCAGGAAGACGAGGTAGCGCTGGTACTCGCGCAGGCGCGCGAGTAGCGGGAGATCGGGCGCCTGCGTGAGCGAGCGCGAAGCCCAGTAGCCTGTGATGCGGATGCGGTTCACGGGCGAGCCGAAGGACTGATTGTTTGCTGCAAGCGGATGAGCATGCGCGCTACCTAGCGGAAAAAGTGACAGGAATTACCTTGGACAATGCTACAAAGCACAGAAGTATACAGTCACGTCAGAAGCCACATAACAGAGGGATGGAGGACGATGCTGACCGCATGTTCCGGCCGATGAAGATGAGCGGCTTTGGGATCTTGTCTGTGTCCGTCAGGAAGCTCTTCAGCTTCTCCTTGAGCCGCACACTGCGGTCGTATTCGCTCAAGTTCTCGAGGTTCTCCGCCTCCTGCCCCGCAAACCGTACAGGTCGCATCAATGTCGCGCTCGCAAAGATGTCCGGCGCGCCAATACCCCACTGCGCAGCGACACCTTTCACGACGTCGTGATCGAGCGTCATCAAGCCTTTCCACAGCGTCGCATATTCGCGCTGAAACTCGCGGGTGAGGCGTACGTATAGCCCGTGGTCAAGCAGCACGAGCTGCGGTCGACGGGGGTGTGCGGGATGCGGCCGAATGATGATATTTCCAGGATGGGGATCGCAGTGCACCCAGCCCCACTCAAAGATCTGTGCGCTGAACAGCTCGACCATCGTCTGCATGATCGTCTTCACGCCACCTTTCAGCGACCGCGTGCGTGGTAAGGCGTCGGCACCATCGTCTTCGCCCATGAGTCGTCGGATGCCGCGGCGATCGCTCAGCCGCACACCATCTATCCACTCAGCAACCATTACCTTTTTCGTCGAAAGCTCAGGATACACCTTCGGAATATATACCCTATCCGCGAGGCGAGGTTCTGCAGCAATGAATTCGGCTGTCTTCAGCGCGTTCTCAGCCTCCAACGTAAAGTCGAGCTCGCGGCGTAAGTGATCAGAGATGAAATCTATGCCCATGTGAGCAGCATGCACATGAGCATCGGAAGTACGGGCTCACCGACGACAAAGTACACAGGCATGTCGAAGATATACTTTTCGTATATCCACATGACGATGCGGAAGGCGACCAAGTCCCACTCGACCTGCTTGTTCACGTCTGGCTTTTGTATCTTGACCGCGACCCACTCATCCGAGCCGTCGTTTCTCTTGAGCTTTGCGCGGTGCACCTGGGCAATGCTCGCGCTCGCCGCGGCCTTCTGCTCGAACACTTCGAAGACGCCGTCTGGTCCATCTGGCGGCTTTCCAAACTCTGCCAGGAACACGTCCTTGACGACGCTATACGGTATCTGTGGAGCGTCGTCAAACAGCTTCGCGAATTTCTCCTGCATCGGCCGTGGCATTAGCGCCGCGTTGTTCGCGAATGCCTGCCCTGCACCAATGTTGACATAAGCATACGCGATGAGACGTCAGATGTGCAACGTCCGCACCAATCTTGATATAAAGCCCGCCGTTAGAGGTAAAGAGATCGTACATTCGCTCGGCGACACGCTCATGCAGCAAGGGTATGCTGTCGCTGAGCTCAGGTGTAAAGTTCAACTTGTAATCTAATGCAATTACGGAGCACTGAGGGCAATCATGCAGAGCGCCATAAGGACCAAAAGCGGGCCAGCCATTACGGAATCAGACGTACTGTCCAGAAAGTTTGGATATTCCGGGTTATTGCAGATGCATTGTACTGTCTGTCTACAATCCACACGGCGCCAACACCACAGAGCGTAAGAACTGTGCGGCGACTATATTTGAGGAGGCGGGATGGCTTTGGTGTACGCCGAGAGAGAGGAGAGGTAGATAATCGCAACCGTTGGTGAGGCGGAACTAATTTGGACAGCGAGGTCGTCAACACTGATGGTCGTGTGAGGCGAAGAAACGCAGGCAGCATGGGGGCGCCCGGTCTGGTGAAGACTGCTTGTACACCTCAGCAAGACCATGAGTTGTAGTGCGTGACACTTACTCTAATTTACAACCTAGCCCGACCTGGATATTACAACCAGTTTACAATACCTAGATTGAGCTAACCGGTCCTGTATTCGGTCAGAATTTAGCGACTCGGTATGACTGGCGTTCTCAGATAATGACAACGAGAGTTGAAGACATGAAGCTATTGTCGTGAGCCGGGAAGTGGTGGTCAAGTGTTGAAAATGAGAGCAGAGTGCAGCGCCGCGACATGCGAGTGAAACAGCCGACCAGACGCGTACCACCGCGCTACATACGTCATCCTTGCCCATTATGGACGCATGTAAGCGCCCGAAGATACTTCAAGTCATGCTCTGCTCTGTTAACGACAAGAATCGTACATCCGTGTAGAATAGCCCTATACCTTCTGCTAAAGCTTCATCTTAGAGGTGGGAATGCATGAATCCTGGCTGGCCCAGCGACATTAGCGATCAAAAGACGCGCTGAAACCGCATCTTATGATATTTTACCGAGACCACCCAGCTAAAGTTCGTACCACTAGCAAGCACATGTATCTAACCTAACCATCTGCAGACCATCTTCGTTCCCATGCTGTGTATAACATTAGTTCCTTATGGTATCCTCCCCATTCTATAGGCTCGTGGGCATCAGAGTGAACCACTTGACGGCTGTACTGCAGGCAGGGAAGCATTGCTTCTGTGGTCGGCATCCGCACGCAGCCCGGCTTCTCCAGCACCAATGACCACGTTCGTTACATCCCAGCTCACTCAAATATCCCCGATATCTCGAGACGCATAGCCCAGCGCGTACTATGGCTGGTTATAAGTAATCTACCCCGCGTGGTGTCCGCCGTCCTATGCGATGTCTTCCACCGCAGAGATCCAATCGGCGGAGAGCCAGTACGAGATTCATTCGATCCGTCAACCGAGGAAATGTTACTGACGGCATTGTCAGGCGTGTCACCAATTACATTGTGGTGGCCACGACCGGTGAGGTCCATTCTAGTTTCTGGCCGCCGTTGGGTGTCTGACAGCCGCCTCATTCAGCGTTCTATATCTACGACTGTCTCATCACCTTTGACATGGAGCTTCAGGTCGTCTGGGCACGTAAAGCCACTGGCGCCAGCGTCCTGTTTATCATGAACCGTTATGTGTGCCTCGTCGTCCAGGCGCTGGAGATGATCTGTCAGTTCGCTGACATCTCCTGCACGGTGTGTATCATTCAGGATGCTAGTGCACCATCATTGACCACACCATTCAAATATTCAATCTAGAGGCGAGTCTCCGCCGCACCTGTTCTTGGACGCCGCTGACCCGAATCTAGTAATTATGTCTTGAACCAGTTGTACAACTCTCTCAACGTGCTGCAGATAGCAGTCTGGGCAGGTCTGTCTGTCTTATACACTGCGCATCACAGCAAGAAATAGCTCAGAGTATAGTCTTCTCCGGCCTGCGGGTCTACGGCGTTAATGGCCGTCAATGGAAGACGCCGCTGCTCGTAGTCGTGCTGGGAATGGTCCCAGCCGCTGCAAATTTAGTATGCTACTAGAGTTCAACGCATGCTGGATGAGGAACATGACCGCATTGCAGGTTTATACCGTCAATTGGAGAATGGTGCCGGACACGTCCACCTGTGTTATTACACTGGATACAAGCCCCCGCGCGCTCAATCAGTAAGTCTCGCCTTTCTGCGGTGTCTTCTTTCGCTCACACGCAGTGCATTGAGGCGTAATGCCCTTGTGATTGTATCCGCATTGACTGCTGATCACGAGGTTCGTTCTAGTGATCGTCGCGACGGAGATATGTCAGAGCGCAGGGGAGGCCCTCACCCTTGGTGCGACCTGGTACGCGACATATCAGGTTAGGAAACTCGCGCATGGGACCGATCTCAAACCAAGCATCGCGTTTCTGCTTCTAAGGGACGGTGAGTAGGATTGTAGTAAATATTGAGACCGCTGAACAGAACGCTCTCTGCAGGTAGTCTGTACTTTGGGTATGTCAATATCTTTGATAGCAAAACGTTCACTCATGTCATGTTGTAGTGTTCTCTTCGCCATGTGCATGCTCGAGATCGCGCTCAACCTTGTGGCGGTGGCGGTGAGTACATACGTCGACCCTTCTCCAGTCCACCAATGACGACAGGTACCTGATAGATTGGCTCGCAATTCACATACTTCATGCAACCGTGCGCTGTGCACAACGTACTTCTCACATGCAGCAGCTCACGAAATTGTATCCGCCAGGATCACCACGGTCTTGTTCTCTCACCTTTTCCTCCACCTACGACAGGTCTATTATGCGAGAGAGCACACGAGCTTGATGTCGGAGCCATCCGAGGTGCGCTTCGCACCGGACCTGTTCGTCGGGAACATGGGTGCCCCGCTTGCGACTGGGGGATCCCGCGATACATTGGCATCGCTGGAGTTCGGCGAAAACGAGACAGCGGTAGACGATAGCGAGCAGATAATGAGAGCTGCAGACCTCGAGGACGGACTAGAGGAGAAGGCTGAGATTGTGGAGGCGCCGTTCAGCTTTGAACTCGGAGTTGTACATCCGGCGCAGAACCTGATTAGGGACACATAGGCCGACTGTACGAGGGCACCGAGTCAGTTTCCGTATCGACCTCTGTCAAAGTCCATCTCATCGTCCCAGTCGCTGGCAGTAAAGGTCATGTCGTGGGCAAAACTCGTTCGGGCATTCGCCAGGTGCCAGCGCAGCGCGGGGTCTAGCAGAGGCGTATGGCGATTGCTGGCAAGGGTGGCGCAACTGGTGAATGGTGTTTCTTCACGCTCGGATGTGAGAAAACTTCCAGTGCAACTACAGACCGAGAGACGAGAGCAGTGACTTCAGATCCCACTTCCCCGGAGGTTTTTCCTTGTCTTTGTGTATCCCAGCTTCCTCCGCCTCGCTGAGGGTAGTAGGTACAACACCCTTCCGAACGTTAGTCATTTATTTCAAATCATAAACTTGGATTTCCGTCGAGTCATGTTCACCTGCATGGAAGAGACAGTAAATTCTAGGTTGCGTGAGAGATTCTACCTCAGATATTTGGCTCAGAGTCTGAGTTGCGCCAACAATCGCCATGCGCTGTCGCTGTGGCGCTCGCCAAGCGCCGCGCGGCGATTGGGCGCAGTTTTGCCAGCTACACTCAGTAAAGGGCAGTGCTACGCCGAAGCGGCGAGTGGCAGCGAGCGGAAGCAAGGGGGAAGCAAAGGGGGTGTATGTGGACGACTGCTCACAGCATCGAGCCTTGCAGCAAAGCTTGACAATCTCATCTGCTGCCGAGATACATACATAGTCGTAGTACGACGAGTCGCGTGTCTGGCAGAATAATGAACAGGATTCGCCCTTGGGCGACTGTCAAGAGCTCCTGCAGATGGCGGTGGTGGTTGCGTCGGGCTCCAAATGCAACATTCTACAGGGAGATGAGGATGGACGCGATACGAGATGAAGTCCCGTGACGGCCTGTGTCGCGTTTCCATCAAGTGCCTGCCTGCTAGTACACACCGTCCTCCTGCCTTTCTTTTTCTTTTTCTCCTTCTGTGCGTGCGTGCATGCGTTCGCCTCGTCCTCCTGGCTCTCCTCATTCCCCATTCATCTCCGAAGTCGCTTCTTCCGTCTCAATTAGTCTCCGCTTATGGCCATGAGACGCTCTGGTTCCTCCCGCGTCCCCTCGCCCACCAACACCACCTACTCCGGCATATCCAACTATCGCACAGACTCTTACCGTCCCCTCAAGGATGCACCACGCATATCTTCTACTCTCGTCGACGCCCCCGAGGTCGCCCGCACTCACTTTTGGGAGCTAAACACTTACCTTGCCGCGTATCTAGCCAAAGGTTAGTCCCCCTTTGTCGGCTTCGGGATGGAGTCTCTCTCCCTGTGCATTCTGGGTGAGCGTGTTAGGGGCGACGACGATGGGACCTGGTTGGAGCTTGCGATCGCATAGGTCAATGCAGCGGGCTGCGGCTTGAGCGGGGACATGGCGGCAGCCCTACCCTCTTTGGCGAAAGAGTTTGAGGCAGTCAATCGACTGTCACGGACGTCGCAGGCAACAATCGTTCTTTAGAGCAGTCCTCGCCAAGTCTGCATGCACATTGATGATCGATCCCCTGCTGAGCGTGTCCGTATGCCGTACCGACTGCTTGGTTGTAGCAGGACGCGATGTGCAGGTGCATCTCAGTCTTTCCTGTTCAACAGCAAGCCAGTCTCCGTATCGTTTCATCGCTCGACCGGTGTTCGTCTTGCTTCACATAGAGTCAACTGCTGTGCCTATTCATGTATATCACGCATATACTCCGTGTTCTTGTATGTTATTGTCCGTGTCATTTATCTTACTGTAAATGTGACGCCATTTCCTTCTTCGCTTATTCCCCGAGTACCCGCTTACCCGTCCTCACGCTCAGAACCTGCCAACTCGCGCTCGACTGCGAGACAGAAGCTGACGCGTTTGACGCGGCAGCAATTCCAGGAGCTGTCGACGGATGTTTACGATGAGTTACTACGACGCAAGAACAACTCGACCAGCAACGAAGGTTAGAGGCAGATTAATCAACTTGCGTAGCCCAGCGTGCTGACGATGGTTGTCTCCAGTTCCCTTCCTCCCTGTGCGCGACGATTTTCACCCAAAGCGGAACCAGGCGCGTCAGAAGCTGGCGACGCTCCCTACCGGCCGGTTCAAGGACCTTTCGAGCGACGTGTATTACGAGCTGTCCAGGCGATACCCGGAGTTCAAGGAAGACGTGCGTAGAGCCATACTATCGCCGAGTCTGACCTTACGCTTCCCTCCTGCAGCCCACGAACGGCGCGCCGATCGGGTCTCCCGGGTCCTCCTACGACGACTATCCTTCGCCCGACTTCCCCGCCTCTGCTCGCCCGGACAATGCCGCATCGAGTGCGCCGTCTGCATATAGCCGTCCGGGTCAGGGCAATTTCGCGGGCCGGCGCAGCGGAGATGGTTACGGAGGCGCCGCATACGCTGCTGGCGTCGGGCGCCGCAGGCCGTCGCAAGACCTGTACAACGGGGAAAACCGGCGGCGGCCATCGCAAGACATGACCGGGCGGCGGTCGGAGGAGTACGGCGGGGCATTAGTCGGGCGGCGCCCCAGCGAGTCGGTGAGCACGACGAGCGAGTCGACGTCAGCGTCGAACGCGCAGAGCGCCGGCATGGGGATGATCATCCCGAACAAGAGCACGATCGCGGAGGAGGAGATCGAGGTCCCGTATGGGCGCGAGGTGCGGGACAGCGCGAGCACGGCGATGGACGACCGCACGCGCGAGAGGGAGCGCGAGCGCGACAGCGACAGCGACGTGGACGAGGACGGACTGCGTCCGGGTGGGCTGAGCGGGCTGAGCGCGCGGCTGCAGGCGGTGGAGGGCGAGGACGAGGACCGCGCGGGGTCGCGCGGGGAAGACTACTTGGACAAGCTGTCGTACGGGCGTGCCTCGGTCACGTCCGACCGGTCGAACGGCGCCGCTGGGGTCGGTGCGCGGCTGATGGGCGGGCGCGCGAGTGTCGCCGCGGAGGAGTCGGAGCGCATGCGACGGGATTACGAGTACAAGATCGCGACACTGCAGTCGCGCGTGGCGACGCTGGAGCGGGAGGTTGAGGACGGTCGAGAGCGGGAGCAGAAGTGGGCGGAGGGCGAGGCGCGGGTACGTGCCGTCGAGGAGGAGCTGCGGGATCTGCGCCAGGTGTGTGTGTATGCGGATGTACATGCGGGCGTCTGCAATGCTGATCGTGACACTAGCGGATGGAGGAGAAGACGGCGGCTATGTTCTCGCTGCAGCAAGAGCTGGACAATTCACGGCAGGAGCGCGCGCGGGAGAAGGAGGCGGAGGCGCGGCAGGCGCGCGTGGACGAGGACGAGCTGCGCATCTTGCGAGACCGCTGTGAAGAGCTCGAGGCAGAGCGTGCGGGCGGCGGCCAGGTGCGTCACGCGTCGCGCGCTCGCTTCCACGTTGAGCTTGGGCTGACTCTCCAGTCCTTCAGGCCAACCCCGAGATCATGGACCAGCTTCGGTCGGACATGGAGGGTCTGATGATGGAGCTGTCGGACCTCTCGAGGCGCAACGACGAGCTCATGACGGCGAAAGACTCGGACTTGACCGTCATACGCGACCTCGACGCGCAGCTCAAGGAGTATAAGCGCAAGTACGAGCAGGCCAAGACGGAACTGCGGAGTGTCAAGGGTACGTCACAACAACGCGCTCGGGGATGCTGTGCTAATGCCGGCGTGTCTGCACAGCGACATCGCAGCTCTTCCTGCAGGCACCGCGCATGGACGACCAGCTGCCGGTCTCTCAGGACGGCGGCCTCGTCGACATCCATGTCACAGCCTTCGTGTCTGCCATCGACAGTCTCCTCACTGCCGGGCGCTCCAACGCCCCTACGCGTGTGCTGACGCCCATGAAGGCCGTGATCAACGCAGTCAGCGCCATCATCGAGGACGTCAAGATCGTAGAGCGCAGGCCGCGGCGTGATATCGACGTCGACGCGTTGCGCACGCTGCGAGACCGCCTGGAAGCCACTCTGAGCAACCTGGTCGCGGCCACGAAGACACACGCGACGGGCTCCGGCATGTCGCCCGTCAGCCTCCTGGACGCCGCCGCCAGCCACGTGTCGGCGACGGTCACCGAGATCGGGAAGGCGGTGTGCATCCGCAAGGCGACGCGCGCGGAGCAGGAGCAGTTCGCGCCCGCGTCGTCTGTGGGCGCGTCCGCGACAAACGGCTACGCTCCACCACTGCGCTCCGTGGACGAGGGCGGGAGCCTACACCAGAGGATGGCGAGCTCTGCCAGCTCCAGGCGGGGCGACGCGTCGCAGCAGAACGGGAACCGGTACGGGGAGTCGATGGCCTCCTCCCGCTCTATACCCTCGCGCTCCTCCATGGAGGACCAGCGCAGACCATCATCCAACATGTCGAGCTCGCGCGCCAGCTCCCCTCCGCCGATATTTGACCAGCCCTCATTGCAGAGTGCGGGCGCCATGACGAGCGACGAGTCCGCGGGCGCCGAGAGCCCCGAAGACGCGTGGTGCGAACTTAAGGTTAGCGGCCCCTGAGTGCGCCGCCCGCGTCGTGAATGCTGATCTGCGTGTCTCTCTATCCAGCCGTACCTGGAGGCGCAGACCGACGCGATCGTGTACGCGATACAGAGCGTGCTCTCAGGCGTGCGCAGCCCGACGCCGCCGCCTTCACTCAACGAGAACCTCACGCAGATCATCACCATCGTCTCGAGCATTGTCGCGGTCTGCAAGGACAACATCCCGCCGAAGCACGCGCAGCAGGGCGGCGAGCTGCTGCGCGAGCTGGACGAGCATGCCAACCGGCTGAGCGAGACGCAGGCGCTGCCGGAGATCACGAAGGAGTCACGACAGATTATGGCCAAATCTAGTTTCGCTATAGCTAATGCAATGAAGGTTCTCGTGAAGCTGTCTTGATTTATATGTAGCATTATGTGGGCAATATATCCCGATGCGTGCCTCGACACCCGGGTGCATTCAATAATCCTCTTTATGAGATCCACGCGTAGTGGGGAGACCTCTGGGATTATACATACCTAGTTAGGAGAACTTCGTTTGCGGTAGATTATTTATCGAGTCATTGTTTTCGTTTCCTAATTCTATGGGCTCAAACTCCAGCGTAAGTACATGTAGCGTGTCCAGGGCTTCATGTCTCCGCCGAGTTCCAAACGCGCAGTGCGCGGAAAACGATGCACTGTCATGTCAAATATCGAACTCAGCATAGTGACCGAATGTCCCATTGCCAGTCTGGTATGAGCTCTATAGCACAAATGATTCTGCACGCATAGGTTTACCCTCGTCATTGCTTGTACATTGCAGTCGTTTCCGATAGAAAGTCTGTTGCGCTGCTATCGACTCATTCTCTTTCAAATACATCTACGCCCTAGCTATATAACAATGTCCCGAGGGCCCCCTCGGGCACTTTTGTCCCGAGGGGGCCCTCGGGACAACACCTTTTTCTGATTTCAAATGATTCAATCTCGTCAAATCTCCTTGTGCTCATATCTTCTCCTCGTCATTGCCTCTTGCTCATTGTCGCCACCAACATTTTCACAATATCATCAATGATACTCTCAAAACTTGTCACATGCCTCTTCCCTCCATCACCATTGTCTTCTCATCGTCAATGTTCTCTTCCACCCATCTCG